GTGTGTGTGTGTGTGTGTGTGTGTGTGTGTGTGTGTGTGTGTGTGTGTGTGTGTGTGTGTGTGTGTGTGTGTGTCTGAGTGTTTGTGTGTGTGGGTGTGTGCGTGTGTGCGTGTGTGCGTGTGTGCGTGTGTGCGTGTGTGCGTGTGTGCGTGTGTGCGTGTGTGCGTGTGTGTGCGTGTGTGCGTGTTTGCGTGTTTGCGTGTTTGCGTGTGTGCGTGTGTGCGTGTTTGCGTGTTTGTGTGTTTGTGTGTGTGTGGGCGTGCGCGTGCGCGCGTGGCCAGGAGTGTGTTCGAATTCTGCCTGGTGGTCCGGATGCTGGATTCCAGATGCCTGACTTCGATCCTGGCAATGATGTTGAGTCTTTGCCTTAGCCCCTCAATGCATTGAGGCCCCTGGCCGTGCAAAACGAGGTTTTCGGCAGGCCACTGGAGCATTGAGGCTTACAGCATGTGTTCCCTTCAGGCCAGCACCTTCCGTGGCTTGCCCGCACAGCCACTGACTGACCCCTCAGGCTCCGCGTGCTGGGCTACAAGGGCCGGAGTCGAAGCGGTCAGGATCAGTTCAGTTGTACGATGCTGCCGGTCCCGGTGAGGGGCAAAGGTGGCAAGGGCAAGGACCGCGAGAGGAAAGGCGCGGGGAGTTTTGCCAGGCCAAGCCTATAGCCTAGCCTTTGGCATTAGGAATTTGGTAGACCCCTCCAGTTGGCTTTGCATGTTGTCACACTAGTTGGGTTGTAAGTGCACGACAAACAATTCCAGTGTGCATATTGAACCCAACTTCAATGTCGGGCCATGCCAGGCTCTGGGAAACATGGAGGAAGCGAGTCAGGCAGGGCCATGCATTGGCTGGTGTCAAAAGGCTCGTGGACGGCATATACTTACGAGTCTGGAACGCATCGGCTTGCGTAACTGGAGTGGGAGGCCATGCCCACAATGTAAGTTACTTGCAGCTGGCACTGCTGACTGAACTGCCCCTTGCCCGTCGAAGTCTCAAGTTCTTCACCTCCTTTCACCCATCAAGTTTTGAGCTGGCCGCGGCTTCGCACGGGGAAAGCAAACGCCAGGCTACTCGGTGTGGGCGCCCCACCGGCACCTGGAGAGCGAGACCACCTTGGCGCGGCAGGAGCACTTCGAGGTCACCGCCTTGAAGCCCGAGCTGCTGGAGGAGCAGTGCCCCGTGCGAACATTTCATGCCGAAATCCATGCGGATGTTTGGCTTCAATAGGCATTGCCCCAAGCACTGCCACATGGAAGATGTGCCTCTTTTTGCGGAGTTTGTGAACATGTTCTTTCTGGAACCTTTGGCGGGCTGGAGGCTGGCGGCCAGCCGGCAGCTATAAATAGTAAGCCCGCACAGGCAGCAGATTGGACGAAGCTGCGTGAGCCTCCGGGCACAGGTGGCATCTTTTATTTTTGCTCGCGCGCCGGCTGTTTAGATCTTCTCAGGTTGCACATGCGAACCTTCCTGAATTAAGCATCCACCCATTTCGAAAACTGCAAGTGAGGTGGCTCAAGTAGGCACGGCTGATGGTAGGCGTGCGTTGCCTCATTGAGATGCTTGCTGAAATGTGAAATGTATGGCTCAGGTACGGGCAAAGAGATCGGAGGCACGGCGAAGCAGGGGGCAGTTTCATGGGAGTTGTTACTTTCAGACGAACATGTGCAGAGGGCAGCTCAAGGCCCAAGGCGTTGCGGGAGCTTGTGTGGGACTGCAAGGGAAGCGGCGTAGTCCTTCGTTCGCAACTCTGATCATTTCCAATGGAAAGATCATGGGAAGGGCCTCCCTCATACTGGTTCGGCGAAGTTGGTTTCAAATTGCTCCTTGCTTATGGCTTCGTTGCCTGCAGCGCCCTGTTTCAGCACGTGTGTGCGGTGTTTTTCCAGTGCCGGTCGGTAGTATTGATGCAGTGCAGGTGGGACCCCCTCGGTCCCCAGGGCATGCTCGACTGGGGACTGGGACAATGTTGCGCAGCACCATGACAACAACACATTGTTTCCGGAACGCGCGGCTGCTACTTTTGCTCTCTTTATACAGGTGCTCTTTGATTCTGGCCATCAAGCACATTTTCTTGCGGTACATGCCCTTTCTCGGAACAGCCAGAGCAGCAGCAACAGTTACAGCATCAATATGTTTCTGCACCCATGCTTTTCAGCTACTATTAATCATCAATCAAGCTTGCAGCTGTTTGGCACAACGGGCCGGGCAACAAAGCCACATACCTTACGGCCAGGGCAGCTTTGGCGAGGAAGGGCTTTGCCGTGGTGGACTATGCCACGTCAATGCAGCTGGCAGAGGCGGCGCGCAGTGACTGCAGCTTAACGAGGCTAGCTGAGCACTAGGCTGAGCATGCAACAACAGACAATGGCAGGGTTGCGCGCCCTCGTTTGCCTAGAAGATAAAAGTTTGCATTTACACCACCTTGCACGTGATCTCCCTCAGCTTCGCAGCTTTCGCACCTTGTTTTCAACTGCGGGCAGCAACAGCAGTTCGGTCAAGGTCATCCTTCCGCACTGGGCAGGTCTTCAAGGCGAAGTCTGAGAAGTCCGAGAACAAGCCGGAGGCTGCGAGGTCTATGGCTGTGTGGCTGGTCTTTGAGAACAAGAGCTGCTCGGCAGTAGTGTGAAATCGGGAAGAGTTGAGGACCACTTGCCCGATGCGGGGTCCGCAAAGGTGAGAACAACTGCAGTATGCAGTGGCCCCTTGATGGAACTGTCATCCAGTTGGGCCTCGCCAGACCTTGTGCATTGTTGAAGGGCTGTGGGCAACCATGAGTCCCTGCACTAGTGCGAAGTACTGTGTGTGTGTGTATGCGAAAAATCTGGAACGAACATGCGGTGGAAAGTGCTGTGCTTGCAGCGTTGCTATCTTCTTCGGTAGGGCAACTCAAAGTACTTCCAAATGAAGCTGCTGAGCACCAGGAAAGCAGATCGGAACGATCTGGACATATGCGTCCACGACTACTTCTGAGATACTTGGCTGAGCGCATACGCCGATCTCACAGCAACGGCAAGCTCGGTTTGTTGCTTGCAACGAGTAAAGCCTTCAGGTGAGAGGTCCGTGCCCGTTTGCTTGCAAAGAAGCGTGATTGAGAGGCCCATGGGGGGAGGGAGGCGGTTACTTTTTGCAAATTGCATCATCAACATGCGGCACTGTCGCGTGGCCGCCATGGCCATGGTGGGGCAATGTCAGGCATGCTGGGGTCCTAGCAGCTAGGCACCCAAACACTTGCACTCCGACGGCCTCCCCCTCCCCCCGTTGTTCGAACAATTCGACCAGCAGAAGCAAGGAACAAGCCAAACAAGAAAGCAAGGAATAAAACACAAACGAAAAAAAGGGGGAAAAACGGAAATGGGACCAAGACAAACAAGGAGACACAAGACTCTGCAATGTCGGCAGTTAGCTAAGAAAAACTCAGGGTTTGCGAACTAACTGGAGGGAAGTCGAGAAATCACAAGGACTCCGAACAACAGCAAGTCAAGTCCAGCCCACCCACCCCCCGCCAAGTCCACCCTCCACTGCTTTTCCTAGTTACCACTCCTTGCATTTTCAAGGGATCACCAGTCCACCAGACCTCAGCTTGAGAACGGCGAATGGCGAGACATTCACTTAGAAGTCTAGGAGCCATGAATATGGTTGGACAGGAACACAATAAGAATTCGTCTAATTTGCAATCTCATGTTCAATTATATATGTGATGTTTGTTCGGGCTACTGGCAATGCTGTTATCAAGAAGGACGCTCAAAGGAAGGCGATTCGCCAAAACAGCTCTAAATCCGTTTCAGGAGTTGTGTTTGCTTGGCGTTGGGAAGGTTCCAATACAGCAGAACATTCAGGCAGTGATGGGCTCCTGGAGTAAAGCATGTTGTTGGGTTGCTTGAATGGGCTCGACCAGGACGACCCGCAGCAAAAAACACCCCGAGAAACAAAGAAGCAGGAAACAGAGAGAGAGAGAGAGAGAGAGAGAGAGAGAGAGAGAGAGAGAGAGGCAGTCTTTACGCACCCATTGTGGGATCATGAGTTTCCTCAAGGACAACCTGCTGAGAAATACTTGACCATGCCACTCACGGCAGCGTTTCAACACAAGAGTGAGTGTTGAGGCGTTGCTAAGGAAAGAGCGGCAAGCCGTGACGCTGGCGATGAACCAGTATGCGGAAGCCGTCCAGGCAGCGGAGAGTGATTCAACCAAGCGTCAAGGCACCTAAGGCCAGAGCCCACAGCCAAGATAAAATCCATTGCTTCAGGTCTGGATGTCGTGCTAAAACCCATGCATTAGGTTTTGTATTCCGAATTTCCAGGCTTGCATGGCATGAGCTTCCCACTGTGTGTGCGGAAGAGACGCGGAAGGGCGGCAGAAGAGATGCGGAAGGGCCAGTAACCCAAAAAAATGATTGAAAACCAGTGATAACTTGTGTGTAGATTTACAATGGGCGCGGAAGGTTTGCGTACGGGCAGCGGACGGGCAGTTCTCAGGAGAAGTAATTTTGCACCCCCCAGGTAAGCGCTTGTTCAAAAATTTGGTCCTTGGCTCATGCCAAGAAAGCCAGAGATTGAAAGCACCAAACAGGAGGAATCAGGTGTCACAGTTCGCAAGATACCAAATACGTTCATCCAGGCCGCATCTTCGGGAGCCAATGCAGGGTCTTCAAACATCCAGCTGTTTATCCCACTGTTCATGCGGACCCAAAGCTGAACCAAAGATAGACAGCCACGATCTTTCGCCTTTGCACCGAGGCGAGGGTGGAGCCTGTGCCCAGAGCAAAGCGCTTGTAAGCGCTACATATGCTAGTTCAAGGGTGGTTTGTCACTGCCATGCTGCGAAGAATGTTTCTGTGACCCAGCCAGGCCGGTGCCAACATCCAGAAGGTAGACGTGGATTTTCACTGGGTGCAGATCAAGCTGTTCACTGGTGGAGGGGTGTTTTAGCCCTCCACGGCGAGTGTTACGTGCACAGGCGCAGTTGCAAAAGCCGCAGACCTCAAAACAGCGATCCGAGCTCCACGGCGAAACCTTGGGCCATCAGTCAGGCCTTGGTTCATTTTACCCTTCATTGCCGGTGGCTATGTTAGGATCAACAAAGTGCAATGGCCAATGGCTACCTGTGATGAGTCAGCTTTGACGGCTTTGGAGGAATTGTGGCCCAGATCAAAGTACAGCGGCTCGGAAGCATCCCGGTAATTACAGCAAGGCAAAACGGTGAAAAAACAAACATGAGAGGCAGCAAGACACAGCAAGGGAGCAGTATTGAACAAGCAGAGCCAAAAGAAAGGTCCTGTTTCCTGTCAAGGCCTGTGCCTTCCTTCTCCCCTTTCAGAGCCTTACCCATTTTGGCAGCCATGGCCGGCTCCGAAGAGGGATCGTCGATCGTGAACATGGAGGATGTCGAGGATCCTAAGGACTGCATTCACGCCGCCAGGGATTAGCTGAGGATGCGGCGCCGAAAGTCCGTGATGTCCAGAACGTCAGAGACGTCAGAGCAATGTTTGGAACCCAACTACTTGTTGTTCTTTTGCTGTCACCTGGAGAAACCTGTCAACACCCCCTTTGCTCTCCCAATCGCACCTCGTGCGTGGCCCCCTTGCAGGAGCCAGTGTCTCCGTTGCAAGCTTTGCAGGCCATGCAGGCCGAATTCGCAACTGGGAGCATTCAGAGGGTGTGGTAGCAGGATGGGGCTGTTGACAAGAACCCACTACTGGGGCAACCTTTCCGAGTTTGACACCCTTGCATTGAGCCTTCGCCTGCCCAAGATGAATCCACAGGATGCTTTCAGCAGAAATGTTCAAAATTTCAGAAATTGACGTTCGTAGGAGAGGTTCAGAGGTTTGAAGTGCCAAGGCGACTTTCCCAAGCATTTATCATGCCAATCTAGTGGAACGTGGTGTTGAAAACTCTTTGCATGCCCAGGAAGGGGCTCCAACAAATGCCAGTCCACGGCAAGTGGTGCATTCTAAGAAATGCCTCGTGAGCATCCCACCCACTCGGGGTGAACATGTTGAGGATTGAGTTCAACGCATGTGCATGGCCCTTATCCAGTGCTTTTGGGTCCACGGCTTCTCGTGTGTCCATGCCTGCTGCCTACAAGGATTCCTTCTCCCATCGCCTGCGGCAGCAGATGACACGCCTGGAAGAGGACTTGCGAAAACAGCAGGTGGGCTTGCGTCGGTGCCGGCATTGTTTATCCTTATTCGCAGTCGTTATGTTTGAGCCGAGGGAGTTGCGAAAGGGGTTGGTACTCTGTTGTGAGCCAGTGGTGCCGTCATTAGCCTGGTTTGGGCGTGGCTTTTCGACGTGCGAGAAGCTACAATACAAGCAGCTTGGCGGAATGAACATAGTCTATGTTGTGCTTGCTTTCTGGGTGTGCGTGCGTGGGTGGATTGCTGGTCCTGCGAATTTCTTACGTGTTGGGGGATTCCGATGTTTGGCACGGCTGCACGCCAAAAAAGAAGCCTGCGTAGCATGTTGCACGGTATCGCGTGCTTTGTTTCGGAGGACTTGCAGTTGATTGAAGATAGCAATGCTGAGCTGGCTGTCAGCCAATCTCCACACAAGATGGTTCGGCTTCCCTTTCTAATGGCCCCAGAGAAGTTCGCGCTTGACCACGATTCCCCAGTTCGGGCCCTGGTTTGCGCAGCCTGCGGCCAGGCAGAGGGCTTCTCTCGGTCCTTGGACAATGCCACACGCCTCAGCTTTCATGTTGCACTCTGAGCATGGTTTTCCAGCTTCAGGGCCTAAAGTGTGGATGGGCCAGCCGCTCCCGGCTGGAAAGTCGGAGCCAGCATGTCTGAAACGTGAATATCTTGAACATGATTGGGCGACAGTTGCGGCAGTTCAGAAGGGACGCGTCAGAGGATGTCCCAAGCAGCCACCCCTCAGCGGCTGGCTTCCATTGAGAGCAGAACACCGGAAGTGTGTTAAGCTGGCTTTGCATGGCTTTGCCACACTGAACTGGCTAAGTCACGAAACTGTTTTCAGCCTACCTGTGCAAGCCAAGTCCTTTGGCGGCCTCAACTCCCGTGGCTTGGGACAATTCAAGGAGGACCAGGCTGGGCCAACTTAGCCAAGCCACAGACTAGGCAGAAAGAAGAGGTGCGGATGGCGCGGCAGTGAAACATGGTCAAGCCCCCCCCCTTTGTCCACAAATGACAGGTTTTGCAAGGCAAGCCCCCGTAGCAGCAGTCAAATAATTCATTGCTACATCAGGGGCCCTAATTGGGGCGGCTGCTGAAATCAACATGAAGACGGGAAATGCATACTTCAAGCGCCCGCACAAGAATGAACATGCAAACAAGGATAAAAACAGCACTCAGCATTGGAACCCAGTTGTTGCTCACAACCTAACCTTATTTCCGCACAGTATTGAAACTCCAGATCCTGCTGTTCGGATGCTCAACTAATGCTTGTAGTGCTTGTAGTGTTGGTTAATGATACTTGTTCAAAGATGTTTTGGCAACCGCGATTTCGTCACAATGAGCCTTTTGCTGTGCAGTTTTGCTATTGTGGACTGGTATCTTTGCTTCCGCTGAGCTGAGCAGGGATACAAAACCTCAATCTTGCCTAAGAGCGTTTTCGGTTTATAGGAAGTGTCCTCAAACAGATCCTCGATGGCAAGCAACGCCGCCTCGGTGCTGGACAGAGAGAGAGAGAGAGAGCGCTGGCTTAGCACAGCTGCTTGACCCATCCGAACCAAGCCTTGCTGGGAATTGGCCCCTATCAGAACAACACCCAAAAAGCGGCTACGAGCCGCTCAGCCAATTCAGACCCCGCAACATGGATGGTCGAGTTTGGGCTTGAAGCAGCCGTTGTGGAATCAAAAAATCAATCGTGGGGTTGATTTCGCTTGAGCAAATCACATGACACGCGGCAGGCGCCTGTTTGGGCACAAGAGCCACCGGCGCTGGTGGAGCACCGACTCAGGCGGCAAGCTACACGGCAGGGATCGGACAAGACACCTGCCACTTTTGATTTCGAATTGAGGGCGCCCGTTTACGCTTGCGGTGTTTGCCCCTAATTTGAGAGACACTCAGCTTAGTCGTCTTGCAGCGCGGGGTTCCCCCTTTGGCTGGCCAGAAGTTCCCCAAAGTGTGGGGACCCAATTCTTTGAAGACCCATTTAACTCTGAAGCGTGTGTGTGTGTGTGTGTGTGTCTAAGTGGGCCCTAGCATCAGGTCACACGCACGCAGACACATAGCCCCTTTTGGTCAGGCAAGTTTGGGCGGGACCCCCGCTCAAACCGATTTGTTTGCTCACTGAAACACAATTCGCAAGCACACGACTTACACATGTGTTGCGGAGTAATTTACTGTCCTATTCGGCAAGGAGCAATAAATATGCTGAGACAGCACACTGCTGCTGCACTGGTCCGGGTTCCACAAAAAGGAAAAGTATGCTGAATTCGCTAACTTGTGACGTGTTCTGACAAATGCTCATGATGAAGCTGTGGCTGCAACTGTGAAATCCTGAGTGCATTCTTCAAATCGGTCCCAAAGCCTTTTCCCAATTCGAAGCATCTTCAGATTGCCGTCATCGCTTCACCTTCCGAATCTGGATTTTGGCATTGTCTCCAGAAGTGCTTTGCCAAAAGTTGATCATTTGTGTGTTCTTCAAGCTTCGTTCTAAAACTATTGCTCCGAATGCTGGATAATGAGTTGTTCCCACCTGAACCCACTCCTAACGCGTCCTTAACCAATCCTGATCCGACTTCCTGAAGCAGGTGAGTCCCTTGCTTGCCAGACCCCACCATAAATTCTCCCTGAGTAAACCCGTGCTGAACCTGCTGCGTCAACCCAAACCCACCACAACCCGATGCAACAGCTTTGTTTGCTGATATCCAACCAAGTTTTGATGATAAAACAAGTGGTTTGATGACACAGTGCGTTCCTGGGGCAAGGAATTGCAAGTTGGCCAGTTGTGGGTGGGTGTATTGATCATGGCCCTTGTGGCACGCAGGCGCGAGGAGAAAACCATCCGCAAGCGACGGCACATGCCCATCGGTATCGGCCCCAGGGCGAGCAAGACCAGGGCGAAATCATGCGAAAGCAGCCGAAGTCTAGATTTTGTCTAGGTTGCTCTCTCAGCTGCAACTCCTACACCCAGCCCATGAGAAACCACTCTCCGAGGACCCATCGCCTCGATGAACTCGAGCGGCTCAGACTGGCGACTGCACAACCGCTGGTTGCAGCTCTCCATGCAGTGCGACACCGTGGCGGCCATTTCGGATTACAGGCGAGGCCAAATCTGTGGGGAAGAATTCCAGCGATTCCGCCAGCACAAATGACTAGCCCAATCAAGATGAAGATTCGGTCCTCATGTCTTTTGTTGCAATGCGGTGCTGTTACTTGCAAGTGCTTATTGTGTGTCCATCTTTCTATTGCTGATCAGAAGTCTTGGACCATCGCTTAATTTGAGCCCCTGTGAAACTCTCACAGGAAAACGGATCATACTTGCTTTTTGCGGAAAAAAACATACAAAAACCGTGTGACATCAGTTGTTCTTGCGCCAATCAATGCAGCCATGTCAAGGGCATATCAAAGAAATTATTTGCAAAGAGAATTTCCACCGGCTTGCGCACTTTTGCACAGGCACATACGTATTATACATAGACATATGGATATGTTTATATGCATCCGCCAAAGTGAACCTATAACAAACCTACCCAACAGCAGCCTGGATACCAGCGCTTTGCCGAGCCTAATAAACCCCAAACAAGCCCAAATCCTGCCCTTATTAAGATCATAGCCAGCCTAAATCTCACCCGAAACCAACACCCGCCAAACCAGAGCGGTGATGCTGGGGATGTGGCCAACTGCCTCTGGCCCCCAACCCGGACATGGGTGGCCTTGTGTTAGATCAGGCTTGGTACAGCCAAAAAAACAGGCCGTGAAAACACAGACACACACACACACACACACACCAGGGCAAGCTCTGGGATTCTCCCGGACTGTGTGTTTGCAGGGTTCTATATTAGGCCATTGGCGCAGTCAATTCTCAAGAGCAGATGTGATATTTTTGGCGATTATGGAACCTGAGCTAAGCCATTCGGCAGTCCCACTTCTGAGAAAGTTCTATGTGAATGAACTACCGTTGCAATCATGGGGCGTGGTTTTGGAGGGCGCGATGTTAGCAATTTGCACAGCAGCTGAGCATCCAACCAGCTGTTTGCGTCAAGCTTATGAGTGCGGAGTATGTTAACGAGTTGTTTTGTGTTGGGTTACGTACTTATGTATGCCTTGAAATATTTATGGACGAGCATGAAAGAGTGAAGCCAGCGAGCTGTCACTGCTGCACTGCACCGAAACTTGAAGCAAGCAGCACACACGGCTTCAGGAAGACATTGGCCGGAGACATGCCAGGCCAGCAATCGTTATTTGTTGCGTGGATCGGACAGAACCCGCCGTGCCCCAGTGCTCAGCAAGCTTTGGCCGGGCATTGCTAGGCCTGCTTTCAAGGCGTGCGCATGACCAGTTTCCTGCAAAAGGCGATCGGTCGCTGCTGATGCTGAGTTCGGGGGGACGTGTGGACCCCGCATTTTGCTTTATTGCTTGGCTCGTCAAGTCCGCGCAAAGTTTCACAGTTGGGCCACACCTTTTGGCAGGAGCTCTCGGTTAAGCGCCTCGCCTGGCCAAGCCTTGCGTGCCCGCAACGCGACGGAGCTGCCCCTCGGCGGGCACGCGAACGTGTGGAACGGGAGACCAGTCCGATCTTCCTGGAAAACTATGATCACACTGTTTCCTTTCTTTGGAGCGTTTGGAGGCGGTAAAGGCTTCTGGGTTGTTGGAGCAAGCCTTGAAATCCAAAAAAGGTTGCGGGCTAGAGAAACGCCGCGGTTGACGTTGGGCACGGTTTGCCAGAGGACAGCAATATACGCAGCCTGAACAAAGTGCCTACACGTTGGCCATGGGTCCTTGAATCTGATTCGATCCTGAATCCGTGATAGCTTCAGGTCATTCTACAATAGATGACATGAGATCTTCAATGTTTGTAACATGAGAAATCTAACGGCTGTGGTGTGTGCACTTACCTTGTGAGAACTCCCCATCGGCAAGATATTTCCACAGCGCCACCTGTAGTCGTGCCATGTGTTCGACTCAAACTTTTGTCAGCCGTCTTGTTCTACCAAAAAAAAAGCAGCCGGTGTTGAATCAAACATTGGCACGTGCATTGTACCTACGGTGCTCTTTTAAACCTAGGGTGCTCTTTTAAACTTTGATTGTGTTCTTTTTCTTTGCCTTTTTTTTTTGGGGGGGGGGGCTGACAAGCAACAACTCCATGCAACCTTAAAGGCATGACAGTTTTGGACAGGCATATCGCGGGCAACACTTAGCGCGTGAACAGCCAGCGTACAGGATCAGACATCAGATGCGCAGCATGCGGCCTTGCCTTGGCTTGGAACTAGAGGCTGGCTGCACGTTGCACAGGAGCTTCCCGTCAACTTTGCAGAAAGCGGGTTGCATCAACAAAACAAGGGCCGTGCCGCGGCACCTAGTTGACGTTGTTGTTTGGTGGGCATTGGGCCTTTGCTTTGCAGACTCTTCTTGCTCATTCTGCCGCAAGCCACTGATTGCACCTGATTGCACCTTAGTCTTGAGCTGTACTGTTACCCTTCTCGGTTGTCAGCTCGGCAAGTGCCAAGCTTTAAGCTGCAAAATTGAGGCCATTCGTGGTGTTGGGCAAAACTCTTCATCCGGGCAGTCTCCCTCACGTTTGTTGGGAGCCTTGGCTGACAGCTGGTTCGATTTCGCTGTTGGGTTGAAGGCGGTATTGCAGTGGCACATGTGGGCACTTGCAAGGCCAGGTCTGACGGCCACTATGCGTTTCCAGTGTTGGCTTTAGATTTGCACGTGCGAGCACGTTTGATGTATTTGCCTCCCCGCAAATGCGCAATGCGCCAGGCTGTTTTGCCCATGTTACAGTCTGTTCAGGCGCTAGATTTTCCTGACGAGGGGGTGGCGACTTCTAGAATTTTGGGCGTTTCGGACAGTGCGAGAAGATTTGTTAGCCTGAAAGGCGCATGCGGGGTCGGATTGCATTGACGAGGAAGCAATACATCAGTGAATGGGCAGTGTAAGGACTTTGTGGCGGTGACTTTCCTCCTGCTGGATTCGATCCTTCTACCACTGAATTTGGCATGGGAGTGGCCAAAAGAAACATCAACTCCCATCGGCATCGCGCTGCTAGTGCACTTCCTGATGAGCATTGTTTTTTGGACTCTGGACATCATCATGAAACTTGGCCTAAGATTGCAATTTCAATTCGGTACGTGTTCGGTCGATTTGAGGGAGCGCGAGAAGCTTTGCTGATCGAGTAGCTCGGTTTGGCAGACAGCAAGACTCTTGGCACCAAACCTTGTCCACTCAACCCGCCTCCCAGAGCCAGGAATTTCAACACCGGCTTCTACCAGAAGGGCGCCCTTATCAGCTCCAAGTATGAAATTGCAAAGCACTACATACGGACTTGGTGCGTATTTGATTGCCTCCTGGTTTCCTTAGACTACATCACCGTGGTGAACATTTTTATGCAGGAGGGTATTCGAGCGCGAACAAGCCCACACTCAAAATTGCACTTGTTTGCGGCTACTCCTGGCCCGGGGCTGGGCTGGGGCAGAGGGAGGCATGCTTTTGCTGCGTGGCAACTGAGACAGCACGCCCATGGCCATTTGACTTAGATAAGGGAGCACCCCATCCAGGGCCCAATCCAATCCACCCTCAAGCTCACTAATCCTTGCAACTGCGGAGGCAGTTGCACATTGCATTGCTGTTGTGAAAAGTACTGACTTGTTGAAGCCTTTGGCCTGTGGCAAAACATGTTTGCAGTTGTCCTTGGCCAGAGCGCATCGTATTGCACATTGGACTGGCACAGGCGGCCATTGTCTCCTGGCTACTCATACCACTTTGAACTGAGCGCAGACCGCAGGATTTGCTGACCGATTTGACCTTTGTCCGCTTCGCCCGTATTGTGCGATTGACCCGGTTGCTGCGCTTGGTGAAGCAACTCGGCACCGGGATGGGGATGAACAGGCAAGAGAAGCAATTCGAAAGAACTCCAAGGACAATAGCGGAGCTCCGCAAACAACATGTTGAAGTGAAAAGGCTTGCTGGCACCACTTGCGGAAGCTGACTTTTGCCCGCTCTTAATCTGTATGCTTCAGGCCTGCCATGGCCTGTCCATATCTCACCGCAGTCACTGCAGGATGGCCAAGATCGATGGATTCATTCAAGAGATGGCGGCCTCCACTGGGCGACAGTGGACACTTGGCTGCAGGTAAGGCCGGCTGGAATTTGAGCCGGTTTGTATAGCACACAATTCCTGACGCGCGCAAACACACACACACACACACACACACACACACACACACACACACACACACACACACACACACACACACACACACACACACACACACACACACACACATTTGCTTGAGTCGGCGTGAATGCGGAGGCATCCTCAAACGCATTCAGTAAACCGCAACAGGAACCGCCAAAAAGAGGTACGCCACCATCTGCATCACAAGTCTGGGACCAGGACCATCCTCATCGGGGTGGCTGATATCCCAGGAGTGGCCACCGACTCCGTCCGAGAGAAACAGATCCTGAATTAGAAGCAGGGCTTGCTTGCGCGCGCACACACACACACCCGAACGAAGGGACAGCCTCAGCATCCACCGTCAGGTGGGAAGTTTCCGAGATCCGATCCAGGCCTTGATGGAAAACATGTCAAGCGCGCATCCGACTTGCTACGATCACAAGGTGAGTAGGGACCCGAGCCAACAAGAAGGGCCAACAACAGGGGACAAAGCGGACGCACAAAGAGAAGGGAAGACCCGTTTAGGGGTAGTATTGAAGGTCTCTGCGAGGAAAGCCCAAACCAAGACAACCGCAAAACAAGAAAAGCAAGCCAACACACGCAAACACGCAGGTACACACCACAACAGAGAGAAAAGAGAGAAATCTTGACTAGCAGACCAAGCAGAGATAGTCCATGTCCATGCAGAGATAGCCTAGTCCTCGAGGCTGCCGCTGAACTTCACAAAGCCAAAGTAGGCAGTTCTGACGGGAGCAGCTTCAGGGACCTGACAAGGTTTTACCTTAACCTGAACCAGGGTCAGAAGTTTGGGCTGATCAAAGGTGCAAGTCTGCGAAAGAGGCCTTCCAAATGGGCTGAAATGTATTGGTCACAGATGGTTAACCTGCATGTGGAAGTGCGTGTTGATATGCTTTAGAGTCTTTAGAGATGGACAGACAGAAAGACAGAGGGAGGAGGAAAGAAAGAAAGAACAAAAACAAGAAAAGAACGGAAGAGAGCTCAATCAAAATGCTTTAGCTGCACCGGCTCAGGATAATGCTGGCCGTTACCATTCAGAACAGCACCATCGCTATTGTGATCCTTCTTCACACCCTGCGCCTTGCACGATTTGCAGCGCCTATCGCAGTTTGGATTTACAATTTGTGGGAAACTAAGCCACCCTTAAAGGCAAGGCGGCTGACTGTTTAGGAAGCGGGAAGGCATGGACATGCAATGCCACATCAGCATGTCTGCTGGGAGCTGTGCTCTGTGGGGTGCGCCTCGCATATCCTTTGAGGTCTTGCGTTTGGGTGAGCATCGCTGGCCAGACAAACGGCAGCTGGATTGAGCTAGCGGGCATTGGCCCCACGGATGCCGTGATGCAATACCTACATGCCTTCCGGTGTCTTGTCCAAAGCTAGCAAGGCACCTGCTGTCTGACAGGTATCACGCTTCTTTTGTAATGTTGGACTCTCTTTAGTGTGACCCCCCCCCCTGGAACAGTGGAACCAGTCGGCGGGACTCTCTTTAGGGAGATCCTGGGGGATCTGGGAGGGACAGTACTTACTTTAGTATTGCCAATTCTACTTTAGTATTGCCAAGGCCCCCTCTCAGATTCCCAGTACTGACTTTAGTATTGCCAATTCTACTTTAGTATTGCCAAGGCCCCCTCTCAGATTCCCAGTACTGACTTTAGTATTGCCAATTCTACTTTAGTATTGCCAAGGCCCCCTCTCAGATCCCAGTACTGACTTTAGTATTGCCAATTCTACTTTAGTATTGCCAAGGCCCCCTCTCAGATTCCCAGTACTGACTTTAGTATTGCCAATTCTACTTTAGTATTGCCAAGGGTCGTTTTTTCAGCAACCCCCGAAACCAGTTGGACACTAAAGAGGACCCCAAAACAGTCGCATTAAAGAGGATCTGGGCCTCTTGTGGGCACCCCCCTTTGTGTGACTGTTTGCCCTTTTTGTGTAAAGAAGTTATCTTAAATTTGATGGTTTGGGAACAACTTGCAAAATCGATTTCCTAGATCTCAGGCCTTTAACCTTTGAGCTGGGGAGAGCTTAGGATGAGTCCCCTTCTTTAAAAGTAAAAGGCTGAGGCTTTGGTTTTCAGTTTTCAGCAACCCCGAAACCAGTTGGACACTAAAGAGGACCCCAAAACAGTCGCATTAAAGAGGATCTGGGCCTCTTGTGGGCACCCCCTTTGTGTGACTGTTTGCCCGCACTTTTTTGTAAAGAAGTTATCTTAAATTTGATGGTTTGGGGACCACTTCAAGAAAACAAATTCCCAATTCTAGCTAGCTCAGAACCCGCCTCCAGCTGAACAGGAGCTACCAAGGCTTAGCAAGTTTAGCCTGAGCCCGAGCAAATCCAGAAAGCGAAGAAAACAGCTATGCGTTTTTTTAGATTTTTCTGGGGGGGCAAAAAAACTTGCCACAATAGCGAACCGTCAAAACAGTCACAGGATTCTGAATTAGGAAAAAATTTTCCACAATAGCGACCAGCGAGAATAAAGGAGGTCCAACATTACTCAGATATGTTGAGCAAGGCACGCTGTGGATATTCAAACCGAGCAGACCCCAGTTATCCTTGGTGGCAACAGCCACCCTTGGAATCGTTCCTTTGGATTTTTTAAGGCCCATGGCCCATGGATGTACCAGATACACCTTTCCCAGGTACGTGATGATGCCCATTACCCCTCCTGAGCTGAAGCAGGCAGGAGCAAAGTAGGGTTCAGCTGTTTCTTTGGTTTCGCAGAGTCGGATTCAACCCAGCCATTCTAAAACATGCTTGGCAGCCGGCCCCGTGAGGAACAGACATGTGGGCTGTAAAGGGGCCCCTTTGTGTTCCTGCTGCTTGGCGCCAAGCATGTTAATCTTTTGGCCAGAGGTGTTTGTTTCGAATCTGATGATTATGGCGAAACGCTCCTACAAGTTTCGCAACCTCGGGGTTGAGGAAAGGGACTGCCTCAAGGATTTGAGTGGAAATAATAGATCTTACGAAAGCGACAGGACAGCTTGTCCGAGCGGGTCTTCGACATCCTGCGCCATGGTGGAGAAGCCATGAAGAAACATGACATGTCTTGATAGCGAGCGCAAGAAGCCTGCAAAGGGCCTGATTGCTGGCTCGAAACTCGAACTGACCGTGGAAAATATGGAATATTGGAAACAGTGTTTCTCCTCACTCGGGTTGATTGTCCTGACCCAGACCTTGCCAGCTGCCAACCTTTCTAGATGTTTGTTTGGACGAATCGCAGCGCCTGAGGCTCAGCGTCTTCTGGATGGCCGTGCTGGGATTCTTCGTATCGAAGATCTCTAGCACCATGGCAGAGCTCAGGGCCATGAATGCCCCTTGGCCCAAGCCCAGACTGCTGGAGTGAGAGAAAACGTGAGCGATACGGGCCGGAAGAATGGCCACCTCGGGGAGAAGTCCGTCAAATATTTGCTGGCTGGTGTGTATGGTACTTGCTGGTGTGTGTGTGTATGTGTGTCTTTGCTCGTTTGTTTGTTGTGCTTTTGTTTATATTATATGTTTCTTTGTTTGTTCATTTCTTTCTTTCTGTCTTTCTTTTTTTCTTTCTTTCTTTCTTTCTTTCTTTCTTTCTTTCTTTCTTTCTTTTTTTCTTTCTTTCTTTCTTTCTTTCTTTCTTTCTTTCTTTCTTTCTTTCTTTCTTTCTTTCCTTCTTTCTTTCTTTCTTTCTTTCTTTCTTTCTTTGTTTGTTTGTTTGTTTGTTTGTTTGTTTTTGGTTTATGTGTTTATGTGTTTGTGTGTGTGGTTGTGTGTCTGGGCAAAGGCCAGCACAAAGTGCGTCGCGGGTCTGCGTGAGGTGAATGTGGAGGAAAAAAAGTATCTGGGCCCAGCCCACCACAATTCGCGTGGCTTTGTTTTGTTGGTCGGTGCTTGAAAAGTGTTGGTGCCCAAGAAGTCCCATTTGAATGATACCAGCCCAGGGCGACACTCACCTACAGGGGACCCTGGATTTCTGTTTGTTGGTGCCAAGGAGTCCAAATCAAAGCATCGCCGGGAGATCCGTCGATACCTCCGTAGCCAGGAGCCGTGCCATGGAACAAACAATTTAAGCAACGCGTGTAAATAATCTTATTTATTTTACTCATGAAGAAGATCAACATTAGGCTTGAAGGGCATGTTGCTACTTTTGAAGTGTCCCTGTATTTTCCCATGCTCACAGGGAGCGGATGACACTGCCAAGAGCTGCCAAGAGTTCCATCAATGTCTCACAGTTATTGATCTCGAGCACCAGAACGGGAACAGCATGGCGACTTACAGATTCATGAATCACCCCGTGAAGCAAAGGGGAGCAAGCTTTCAGACTGCCATGCGCAGAACATTGCTTGCAAGAATTGTGCAGCAAGGCAAGGCTTGGCCCGTGGCAACGAGATGCGAATGCGAAAACCCTCAGGCATGTTGCATGGGTTCCAATGCTGAAGTGCAGGAAGCGTCCTTCGAACTTGTCTCCCGCGTCATGAAGTTTGTGGAGTACAAGCTGGACAAGCTGACACCAATCAATTTTGATGGCAGCCTGATCTCCAACACCTTGCAGACGGAGCTTTGCGTAAACCAGCGATCCCGATTCCTGGAAAGGCTTCCGATATGCAAGGTTACCAAAGATCTATTCCCAGAGGCCTTTGCCAACCTATGCACAAATCTGAAGAAGATTGTGTGTGAAAACGGGGAGGACGGGTTGCAAATAGGCAGCCACAAGTTTGTAAATGACCATCGCCAGAAATCACATGTTGGGCATCCGTCCATCAAGGCAATGATCGAAGAAACAGCTTGACTTCAGACTTGGTTGACCACCTTCCCCGAGTGGAAAGGCAGCCAATCACGAAGACCCTGAGGACGTATATGTGGCAGGAGGGCACTCCAGCTGCATGTATATCACCATCACGGGCGAATACGTCCACGTCGAGAATTATCAAGATCAGGAGATCACTGAGGAGCTCTTTGGCGTCCACTGCCTGGAAGAGATCAGCTTGTACGTCCCTTGGCCACGCTTGCTCAATCCTTTCCCTATGGGCGGGTTCCTCAGTCAACCCCAAGGAGGGCTCCTTGTTTCTACGGGCAACGGACCCAAACACGTGCAGATACTAGAGCCCGTTGAGGCCTTGATCGCTTTGTCAATTGACCAAATATCCAACACTTCTGGGAGAAGCCGGTACCCCTGTCAACACGTGATTGCTGATCAAAGGGTGTTCATTCATAAAGGCCAGGGCAGCGGAATTTTTGATTAGGGGGATGACCTTGCGAGTTGGCGCTTGCAGCACGCGAAACCAAGCTTCACCGAGGTGGATAACTGGCCGCACCAAGCCTCGCTGGCAGCGAAGACTTTTGCAGCTGCTTGTCGGAATGACCGGGGACCCCGTCTGCCACCCATCAAGGTAAGCGCTTGGAGGCCAAAGGTAAATGCTTGGAGGCCAAAAGCGCCGGTTGCTCATGTGGGGATGCGATGCAGGCCACGCTGCTAGACCACTTATCTTCAAGAAGGTGCCTCCGTACAGGAAGCAGACCAGTTATCTTCAAGAAGATGCCTCGGTAGAGGAAGCTTTGGAGTTAGATATGCCACGTAATTGTTCAATGCTGACAACGAACGGGCCTAGCATGGCTGTGTTGTTGCAACGGGGCGGGTTCCCGAAGCTGCCCGGCGCTTCTTCCACGAGAGCTGTGGGCTGAGGAAATGTACATCTTGGAAGGGGACGATTTGGTGAAGTCTTTGCAGCACTCGCCCGGCAGTGCCGCGATGTTCTTTGAGAGCCTTCGGCTGCACGTAACGCCGGGGACCCAAACATAATTCACCCAAAAAAGCCTACAAAGGGGCTGGGGGTACTTGGCACAGAGCAGCGTGCCTGGGAAGTTTTGGGCATCGTGCCCTTGCCCCATCAAAACTGATCAATTGGTCATTGCTCGATGTTGTTGTATCAAGCTAAGCCCACCAAAGCTGCGAGGTATGCACGAGAACTCACTTCCTCCGTGGGACGCCTCAACGGGCGTGTTGATCGTCTCACTCAAGTCGCCGTTGCCGAGCGGTGCTGTGTCCTGACTGACGGTTGGCAGGGGCAAAACTGAAACCCTCAGCTGGAGGCTTTGGGGGTATGTTTCAAGCATGGCTCAAGGAAAAAGCCGCTGGATTCAGAGGTCCATGTTTGTTGGCCCAGCTGAGAATATAATTTAAAGTTCTGGAGTTTCTTCATCAGAGCTTCCTTACGATGATGTGAGTTGGGGCCCATCAAATAGCCACCAAGCACACCTCACAAACTCAAATGTGTGCGTGCGCAGTCTTGGGCTTCGGGAATTGTTTGAGTTCCTTTCTTGGGGTGGCCGTTCACAGGACCCACAATTCTCACCGAAGGCAAGATCAGCCTTTGGCATGCACTAAGGCAAGATGACCCGCATTTACCAGGACCCACAGTTGCCCCAAGCACTTTCTCTTTTGCCTTGGAGATGTGCACATGTGAGCTGGCAAGGATGTTCGTGAGTTTGTCAGCGCTTTGGGTGCCAGGAGGTCTTCCCAGATCAAAAGTTCCGCCTGGACACAATCCCTTCTTCAGAATTCTCGATTGCGAGCGACTCGCCGTGCGAGACGGAGCCGCTGCTTGGCCAGCCTATGCTTCAAATCCTGCAGGCTTGTTTTTGGCAAGATTTGGCCAAGCCGCCTAATTAAAGAGAATGGCCGAAATGACCACAACCAGTTTTGCGACATAGGCAATGTCGTTCCCTGGGTTCCTTCTATTTGGCGGCTGCTTGAGCACTGACAAGAATGGAAGCCTGCGGGCTTATACATATACATGTGTGGTTTCAAGTCAAACACGCAAGGGGGAGGCTGTGTGAGGACAGTCCAACAGCCCCCCGATGCGTGAGCAGAAGGCAGCAACACTCTCACCGTTAAATACAAGAAGTCCCGGCACACGTTCCAATTCCAAGCAAAGATTCTTCCAAGTGACCATGGTCACTGTGAGTGTGTTAAAGATGCCATGTCCGAGTCACGTTGCCTCGAGGGAGCGCCGTGGTATTGGCTGGCTTTTGAAAGAAGGATGGCTGGAAGATTTGGAGGCGGGAGCCACTCCACTCACGTCCGTTTCATTGTGTTGTTCAGGGAAGTTGCCGACAGGCTTCCGCAGGTTTCCGAGGGTTCCGGGTGCTGTGTAGACTTGGTGAATACTGTCTCCCAGGTTAGGCTTGCTGTGGGACTAAAAGGGTGTCACGGTCTGTAGGCTCCGTGGGCTCCCCTTGCAGGAAGCTACGCTGCCTCACCAACTGCGCAGTTCCATGGCAGAGCTGCATCCTGAGACCGGCTCTCACATCATCTTTGAGCAGCCGCAGGACCCGTGCAACTGCATTCGGGGGCTTGGGTTGCTTTGGAGCCGGGCCGTGGCGGGCCCGTGGGCCCGTGGCGACCTTACCTTCAAGCCTGTACGATTTTTTGTGCTCAAGCTCCATTGGGATCAATTGAAGATGTTTAGCGAGGTTGCGGGGACAATCTGCCGAAGGCAGATGAGGCCGCGTCTTTTTGCTCGAAGGGGCGCGGGCTTGTAAGTGTCCTTTTGCTGAGGATGCGGCTGACAAATGCTGTTTGCACCAAATTGTTGCTCAGCATCCCCTACATCATCAGACGCGGGCCGGCCAATAAATCATCCCCGACATACTTGGCCTTGCCAAGGGCTCCTGACGTCATTTTGCCCTACCTTCAAAAAACGGCGTAAATACCGTCAAACTCGCTCCTGGTTTTTGGGGGGAGGCGGACGCGCACTGAGCCCGCACTGAGCTGAGCAACCCCTGCAGCCAGCGCAGCTGGTTTCGGCGAAGTCCTGGATTGCAGGTTTCCATAAGTGTCCTTTACAGAGTCCTTTTGGTTTCCTTCCGGCTTTCCTTTGAAGGCCCGTGTAGCAGGCCCGTGTGGCGGGCCCACAGGTCTGTGGTGAGCTTATTGTGACACTGTGGCCCGTCATGAGCTCATGGCGAGCCTACGTTGGGCCCCCAAGTTGTTGCACCCAGCAGTTCGGATTGAGCAACGATTACATGGAGTTGTTTCAAGTTTTAGTGAAGGGCTGGCAAAGGTACTTGCAGGTGAATTTTGAGGGACGGCCTTGCGAAAAGAAGGTAAACAAGAGATGGCTCACTCCGGCCAGTCGCTACAGGAGCGTGATCGTGCCGAGTCCTCTTGCATCAGTCCCTTGGATCCAACACAAACATATTTCAGGCGAGTTCAGCCACGGCAATTGCAAGGGCAGGCATTGGGACCAGGAGCAGCGAACAAATACATGCTTTGTGCCAACTCTCGGCAGCCTGAGGCATCCTGGCATTGGTTTCGAACCGCTACGATATATTCACCAGGCCACAGGCCGGCTGTGCTCTCGGCTCTGCGTTGCTGGAACACATGAATGAAGCTGGCTTTTAGACTTTTAGAAGCAGGGAGCTGCTTGAGAAGTTCGGCTTTCTCTGGGACTTACAAGACATTGTCGCTGTGAATGTAACAGCAAATATTTGAGCGTATCTCCACCTGGGGCTGCACTAAAGGGTATAAAAACGCCTCCTTGCGAGCCTAAGCGATCCTTCTAGCTATTTTAAATGTGTGCTTTCATTGTTACAGAGAATTCGCGAGAAGGCACGCACGGTTGTTTGTGTTTTGTTTATTTGTGCGTGTTTTTTTTCTTCTTCTTTTTTCTGGGCATCCATCCACAATTGCGCCCTGATCATTCTGAGCAGCAAGCAAGCCACTTAAGTTATGCTTCTTCTGAGAGCTGCGTGCCGTGCAGGATGCCTCCATTCGCTTGCGACGGCAACAGTGGGAGCAATTGCAGGCGGTCATCAACTGGGTGAGGCCGAGCATTGAGGAGATTCAAACTGCGGCTCTCCTGCACACAGGAAAGCCGTCGGGGAAGAGGCCGGAAACATTTTAGGGGTTCTCAAATGATTGCGTGGGGGATCCGCCTCTGTGGACAATCCTCCATCTACTGGCAGAGCGGCTTCTTGGACACGTGTCTTGTGCTCGCATCAGATGCGCAAAAGCGGAGCTGCGGCCAGTGACTGCTTGAGGTCTTGGTTCTTTTGGCCATCCGCCCGCTGGGCAAATCCAAGTTCGTGATTTGCCAAGTGCCCAACCACGACCGGCGCCCAGAAAGTGCCGTGCTCTATTTGCTGGATTACTGCCACAACGTGGTGCCGTCTGTGAAGGAGCTGAGTGAGCAAGGCCTGAGCTTGGCAAGAGCCACACTGCAAGTCCACGAAGCCTTCAACTTTGCTCAGATGCTGCAGGGAGAGCCTCTTGCCTTGCAGATAGCTTCATCCCTGAGGCCCCTTTGTTTCCATGGACACTCAGCAAATACTTTTGGAGCGTTCTGCAACGCTCGTCCCCGCTGAACATGATTTAGTTTGGATAAATCTTCTTGGACAAACTGCCCAGCTTTCACACGAGAGTGGGGGAGATGACCCTCCAATATGTGAAGCACACCAGCGCTTTCCAAGGAATGTACCAGCCAATGTTGCTCAACTTCAGGCCTGGCCGCCTATCCGGGTGCCCGTCACTTCCAGGTTGTTGTTGTTGTTTTTTTCCCGCCTGCCACTAAAGCAAAGTAAAAGTGCGCAACGAAAAGCTTTAGCCGCTGATGGTTGACTGAGCCCCGCGACAATGCAGGAGAAGGTTAAGCGGGAGGGAGAACACTCCCTTCGCTTCTACATTCTCTTTCTGCTTGGCTTTATGAGCGGCCTCGAAGCAGGCAGTGGCTCCAGGCGCGGGATGGGGAGAGGTCGGTGATAGGCGGTGAGTCTCAAGGCAGATGACTGGCACTGCTGGCACCACATGTTGGATGCCCCGGCCAGGTTCCTGAATGCAAAGCGAGCCGAAAATGTCATCGAGGCACGGCGTCGCCCAGGAGTCCCGAGCCGGAATGACAAAACCGAATCAGCTGCCTCGTTCCTTTGGGAAACTTTGCCAACCACCTGATAAGCAACTTTGTTCTGGGAACTTTTGCCAAAAGCCCAACAAGCACCTTTGTTTTGAGGGAGCCTTGCCAGCCATCCACTGAGCACTGATTTTTCTGGGCAATATGGCCACAACCTACAAAGCACCCTTGCCAACCACCCAATAAGCCTCTCGTTGTGGGGAATCTGCTGTTTAGGAAGCACCCTCCTTTGGGAGAAGAAGCTTGAACATATTGTTGGGACGTGTTGTTCGAGTTTCGTTTGCACTGGCGAGTGCTGGTCAAGAAGCGCAGCTGGTGAAGTGATGAAAAAGAATGCAGTAGCTTCCTGCCTTAGCATTGTTCCAAGCGGCACAAGGATTTTGAGCCCGAGACCCAAATTTTCCAAGAGTGCCTGGTGTAGACTAAACTAAGAAACGCATGGGCTTGCATTGGCTTTTAAACCGGGATTTTAATGCAGGAGGATTGGTTGGTTGCATTTCCACGCAGCCTGCTGCTGTAGGAAGAAAGAATTCCCCCCCCTTTGCCCCGGTGGGCCTTGCAGAGCTGCGTGTGGCTTTTGCTTTGGCTTGCGACAGGCCATTGGCATGCTGCAACATTTGCTGAGCGCCACTCCCCGTGGCATCTACTGGGGGTATCTTTGCCAGCGGGCGCGTGCTCTGCAGTTGCCAGCACAGACCTCAGCTTCTTGGGCAGCATGGGGAGGGGTGGGAGCCTTCGAGGTGCATGCTCCAGATTCCCCAATTGCCAGTTGGGTCCAGCCTTTCATTCCTTCGCAATAAAGGGGCTGCTTGATTTGTTCAGAACGGACCACTCCAGACAAAGCCTTTGCGCTCGCAGACCACTTTGCAGAACACTTCCAACTGCCTCCAAGCTTAGGAAGACCTGGTCTTCATCCGCTTGGCTTGCCTCATGCGCATCCAGGCCTTTGGCTGATCTGAATAAGGTTTGTTGTTCCAAAGCTTAAGATTTGCCTGCCTCTCTGATAGCGTGCCCAAGAAAATCAACTTAAGATGAATCCACAGAACTCATTGCCAGGGGGTAAGAAAACGTGGCCAAGCAGGGCCGGGGCCAGCTCCAGAGGGGGCGGCGAAGCTCGTTGGCCCAGGGAGCGACATGGCAGGGTTCAATCACAAAGCTTGAACTGGAATTGCCCTCGAAGGTGGGCAGGCGAAGCTCCTTGAAGCTCCTTTCCGTTCAATGGAAAAGCTTCGAGTACCCTAAATCGGATTTGGCCAGGGGGAGTCGACCTATGGCAAGCTGAAGGCATCCTGGAACCGCCTTGGCGCCTTTGAAGCTCGGCCAAGTTTCAGCTGGGTAACCCTGAGGTGCTGTTTCCTAGCAAAAGCGCATGGACGTGCCAAGGCCCTTTTCAATCTCACTGTCCACCTTTAAGAGTAAAAAACTGACTTAAGCATACCCCGACGTGCCTGCGTTCTTTTAAGCCCCTTCAATCCACTTGAGATTGCGCCAAAACTAAGGGCCCCTTTGATTTACTCTAAAGCATGCTTGAGCAAGCCTCCTAGTTTCGACACATACTCATTCCTGGTCTTGCAGCCACGCTTGGCAGCAGGAGCTTGCCTCCCTGATGTCATATCTGCTCATGGGGCGACACGGCGGTCCGTGGCACTTGGATGCTCCAAGATAGGACACAAGAACCTACCATGCGACATGTTGTAAGCTTTTGGAGCAACGTCTCACTGCCTTCACCTGTTCGATCGGCGGCCGAAGCCGGAGCCAGCTTTAGTGAGCGTCGGTAGCCTCAGCCGTCCGCCTCGTGTCCAACACTGCCCACCAGTCTCCCCACCTTCCGCTCCACAGGCATCCCCGGCTTTTTCGAGGCTGTGCTTGGGCCGACCGCGCCCTGTCGCAGGCTTCCATAGGATGCGAGGAGCGCCGTAGATATCGTTGAATTTGCACCCACAGCGTTGCGGAGGGGTCAATGCCGGGACGGGAGATCTTGCTTCTTTTGCCATAGGCAAGCTGAGCAGCACCACCACAGCCCAAGCGCCAAGAATGCTCGCATCACCAAGAGCCCAGCACCCCCCCACGCGGCCCTTCCAGCCCTCAAAAGAGGCTTTAACACATTGGTGATGCCCGCCCTGCTGGCGATGCTTGCGCGAGGGGCCACGTCCAAGTGCAACACCTCCAGCATCACAAGCATTTGTCACGCTAGTAATGGTGTTGTTGCGCCTAGTTTGCTGCCAGATGTATCTCTGAGCCTCGGAACACAGCTTTCTGCTCTTGAATGGCCAGAACACCTGGTTGGGGAGTAGTCCTTGACTTCGATTCGCAAACAAGTGTGACACTGAGGCAGCCTCAATCATCGATGAACAGTTCACAAAAGGATGTTCGAGCATCCATCCCGGATTTCTCCTAGCCAATGGCAGTTTTGGCATGCCACATTGACAATTGAGATGTCCACCGTCTTTTTTTTGTGGTTTGGTAGCAACACATGTACCAACCAGTTGTGAGAATCAGACTGGCTTTGTCTGCGCGTTCCGCGGCTCACTTAGACCTTTCAGCTTGCCTGTGCTGTGCGTACCCTCCCCATGCGACATCGCCTTTGCATGCGCGCGATGCGCCTGAGGTTCCATTGGCATCTCATTGCACAGCTCAGTTGGGTGTCAGGCTGGTAGTGTGTGCTAGTGCCATATCGTTGCCCTTGTGAGGGAAAGCCTCGCTTTTTGAGCCGGCAGCTGAGAAATCCCGAAACTAAGGAAAAGGCCACCCTGATCAACCACTTCTTGGCGGATGGCATTGAGGAGGTGGCATTTGTTTTCGAGTTCCTGCCAGACTGTGTGGCCAACGCAATGAAGAACCCAGTAGTGACGTTGACGGGCTTGTTGGAGATGCTGGAAGAGCTGCTTGGGCTGAAGATTGGCGGGTGCATATTCGGATGTACCCATTTAGGAGCTTCATGAACCGTAGCAATTGTTCTGAGGATGTTGGGCCTGTTTCATGCGATGTGAATTTGGTCTTGCTCAAATGAAACGCAGGCATAAAATGGGGGGGGGTTCCTGATGCGGCAGTGGAGGCCCTGTAATTATGCAATCCCTCCCGCGATGTGGCAGACGTTATGTAGACCCAAAAGCCTTGCTTTCAAGACAGGCTCCTTCACACTTTGAAGCCTACTGTGGACCTCATGCCGGACTTGAAGGAAGCAAAGGTCATCCAAGTTGACCTGTCGGATATGAGCGAGTTTATTGCTTGCGTGCAGAACACCTTCGTCTTCGAAACCTGCGTTTCCCGCTGCAAGATCCGCTTTTCGGGAAGAAGGGCGCAATTGGACGCTTTTGCTTCATGTGGTACTTTTGCGGTTTCCTTTCCAAGTGGATATCCGAACGAGCCCAAACAAGCTGATTGAGCATTGTGCTAGATACTCCATAATCTCGTGGCTCAGGAGATGACCGGCAACAACTGGAGTCGCATCCGTGAGGCCGACTCGGACCTTACCAGCCTTGCCTACTGCATGAGGGATGTTATGCAACGGCAGCAAGCCGTTGAGCATCATTTGAACCGGCTTGACAGATACCGCACGCCTCGAGCATCCACCTTTTCAATTTGATTTTCAGGGTGATTTCAGCGGACGAGTCACTGATTGGCTGAATGCTGCCAATTGGGCAAGCATGTAGCACCCAAGAAGTGCACCCGAGATTTTGCATGGGCGTCTCACAGCTGGTAAAGGAGCTAGCTAGATCCTTGCTTTTAATCGAACTTGCATTGGGCATCAGCCGTTGGGTTGCATGGCCTAAAGCTACTCACATCAAACTCAAGAGTCCTGGCCAGATAACACCAACGCACGTGTTTCTCTGCACGCGTGTGCTAAGCACAGTGTGCATGAGGTTGGCCCTTGGCCATGGTGGATATTTGGCACTGCCTTTCTGGCTTTTGGCATCCGATCGGCCAAACAGCCTCCGAAGGGTGTTCCAGTGGTGCCGTTTGACAAAATCCGCTGGGGCAACCTGAAGCCCACAGAAAGCTTTTGGGGCGAAAAGTTTAGAGCGAAGAAGCTGTTCGCAGGACTTTTGGCCACTTCTAGGACAAAACTGGGTGATCCCAAAGAAAATGGAGAACACACTGCAGACATCAAAGCAGGCGGAAACTCAACCGCATCGTGCTAGGTGTGGGGCTGGCAAAAATGCATGAAAACCGGCATTTCTGGATCATGTTCGGGAGAACATGCTGTGAATTCCATTTGCTTCAAGCCGAACACTCAACCTGGAAGGAAATATGCCCGCGCTGGGCCCTCGGATCAGGAACCGGCGATGGCACGACACC